GATTTCAGTAAATACCCCAAAATTTTTCACTGACATAATGAAGTGAGATCGTAAGTAGATAACATTGGGGAAAGACAGTCATGGTAGGCTTGAGGAGGGAAAAGAAGGTTTGGGACATTAGATGTGGTGAGTGGAGTAGGGAATCAATTAGTGGGCAGGGGTGAGTTTGCCTTACTACAGCAACTAAGGGCCCAGTTGAAATTAATGAACATAAATTTGTAGTGGCTGCATCAGGCATGGTTTCATGATAGTCAACAGCTATGTTCAGTAGTGGCACATGAGCAAGAGCAAAGGAGGTGAATAGTAGCAATAAATCGGGTTTGAGGTTTGGCAAGACATTATCAGAAATAGTCCAAGGAAAGAGGAATTCAAGTGTAGAGAACAGGGTAAAATTGAACTGGTTCACCAAGAAGTCAAGACTGGGAAGAGAAGAAAATATAGCCAGAGTAAGGATAATGCAGGAGTACTGAGAAACAGATTAAAATTCATGGTAAGGACAAAGAGTAGGGATTAGAAGTAAAGCACAACAAGGAATGAAAAGATAAAAGATTATGATGAGACAAAGGCAATTCTGAGATCTTGAAAGTGGAAGTGGAACCATCACTTGTGGGTGATGGCAAAATCAAGAGCATGACCATCCCTGTACGTAACGAACATAAGTGAAGTGAAAGGTTGTGTTACTGGAGTTAAGTGGATTGAAGAACTGATTGGTGGTCAGGTGTGCAACATGATCTAAAAGAAGCCAGGTTATAATGAATGCCCAAAGATGGAAAGAGCAAGAGAGAAAACAGTGCAAAGTGAGAAGGGTTTTAATTATGGAACGAGTATTTCAGAGGGCACAGCGGAGGGGGAGACAGATCTACGAGGGGACATTGGGAGGCCAAAATGGTTAGAAATGAGGACAGCTAGGGTCAGAAAGGAGGTTTGTTCTTTAGCAGTGGGACGTTCAGTATCACAGGGAAGGGAAAAGTAAGAAGGAAATGAGAATATTCAATCTAACCATTGAAGAATGAGTGCCTCTTGAGCATAAATAACAACATATAGGTAGGACTTTTCAGATTTGCAGACTGCTTTACACTGTTATCTCCTGTGGTCTGCATAGCAACCCTAGGAGGCAGGTGCTGTTATTATCCCCATTTTACAGATGAGGAAAATGAGGTTAAGATAGATTAGTGACTTACTCAGGATCACACAGCTAGCAAATGTCTGAAGCAAGATTGAACTCGGATCTTCAAGCTTCCAAGTCCAGCACTCCATCCACTACGCCACCCAGTAAGAAAGTCAAGCAAAGAGGCAGGGGACAGTAACTCAGGGAAGTACGGGAACCATGCGTACTGGACTGGTCCAGAAGCCTACCAAGGAGGTAAGATGTAGCATGTCTCAGGTCAACTGTGAGCAGTGTCTGACCACGTGCTGACCCTGAGGGTGTCCAGAAGCCTAGTAAGGAGGTGAGAGCAAGTGTGTGCCAGCTCCTGGGCCAGCTACTGGAGCCTTTTTCCTTTTCCTGACTTGAAGTTTATCTTACTTACTAAGAGAATCCAGCAGGGATTGTGGCTATTCAGAGAAATGACCAGAACAATAGTAAACTTATTGTACTTCATATCTCTTCTCTGTTTTATTCTCACATGCAACAGTCACACAGTCCATAACTATTTCTTTTCTACGCTAAATTTTGTTTGCTGGCTATTAACATTTTAAATGGTTTGCTAAATTAAGGGAATTTTGATTACCTCTTGAATTTGTGTTTTTGCTATGGAATGTGATGAGGAGTGGGGGTGAGCATAATTGATTGCAACCAATTTACCTGGCTGTGAGATCACCCTCCCAGTTCATCAACAAGTTGGCCAGGGGCTCAGAGTATTTTATGGATCTTATTGAAAGTCTGTATTTTTAGCTTTGCAGAAGAAAAAAGGCCATGTGAAACTGAGACCTTTGTCACTAACTAATCTCATTTCCAAGCAGATGGGTTGCCCTGAGTTTTTCTCTTCTACCTGAGGCAAGAGATTGGAAGGAGTATGAAGAGTGCTCCTCATCCAAACTGTGGCTTTGCTGTCCTTCCACACACCTCCACTGTGGCGTCTTTTGGATATTACAAAGAAAGGCAAAGATGCTGCCGTGTGTTGAGAGAAGAGGGAAGAAAGGAAGGGAGGGAGGGAGGGAGGAAACAAGCATTTATTAAGTGCTTACCATGTGTCAGGCACCGTGCTAAACACTGCAGACATAAATACAAACTAAAAGGAGGACAGTCCCTTCCCCCAAGCAGCTTACATTCTAAAGGGAGAAGACAGTACACAAAAGGGAACTGAAAAGGGAGGGAGAGAGATACAGGGAGAGGAATGAAGGTAGCCTGTATAGAGGCATAGTTTTGAAAACCAGAAAACCAGGAACAGGGCAGGTAGAATAATGAAGGCAGGCTGGTGCCCTGGGCCCTTCCACAAAATGGAGGCTCCAAGAGAAATTCACCAATGGAAGAAGAGGAAGATGGGCCTTGTGAGCTGGGGCAAGCTTGTTAGGCTTTTCAAAGGCAAGAAAGCCTCAGGCACTGAGAGAAGTTCCAAGATTAGCCAACAGTAGAGGGATGACTGCATGATTTCGAAATCCCAAAAGCCAGGAACAAATCAGGGATGGGAATTCTTAAGATAGAAATTGTCCCTGAGGTTCTTCACAACTGCAAAGGCAAGCCTGTTCAACTGGAGTGGATAGAAGAAAGCACGTCAAAAATGTGTGCATGATTTAGACATAAAGGGTGATACTATAAGCAGATTAGGAGAGCAAGGAATTGTTTACCTGTCAGATCTATGGATAATAGAAGAATGTATGACCAAACAAGAGAGAGAGAACATTATGAAATGCAAAATAGATCATTTTGATTCCGTTCGATTAAAAAGTCTTTGCACAAACAAAGCCAATGCAACCAAGACTAGAAGGGAAGCAGGAAGTTGGGAAGTAATTTTTACAGTCAGTATTTCTGATAAAAGCCTCATTTCTAAAAGATATAGGAAACTGACTCAAATTTATAAGACTCTAAGTCATTCCCCAATTGATAAATGGTCAAAGGATATGAACAGGCAGTTTTCAGATGAAGAAATTAAAGCTATCTATAATCGTATGAAAAAATGCTCTAAATCGTTATTGATTAGAGAAATGCAAATCAAAACAAGTCTGAGGTACCACGTCACCCCTATCAGACTGGCTAACATGACAAAACAGGAAAATGAGAAATGTTGGAGAAGACGTGGGAAAATTGGAACGCTAATGCATTGTTGGTGAAGTTGTGAAATGATCCAATCATTCTAGAGAACAGTTTGGAACCATGCCCAAAGGGCTATAAAACTGTGTATACTCTTTGATCCTATCACAACTAGGTCTGTATCCCAAAGAGATTATTAAAAAAGGAAATGGACCCACATGTACAAAAATATTCATAGCAGCTCTTTTAGTGGTGGCAAAGAATTGGAAATTGAGAGGATGCCCATCAACTGTGGAATGGCTAAACAAGTTGTGGTATATGAATGTAATGGAATACTTTTGTGCTATAAGAAATGAAGAGCAGGCAGACTTCAGAAAAACCTGGAAAGATTTACATGAACTGTTTGCTAAGTGAAATGAGCAGAACCAGGAGAACATTGTACATAGTAACAGGAACATTGTGTGATGACCAACTTTGATAGACTTAGCTCTTCTCAGCAATGCAAGGATCTAAGACAATTCCAAAAAACTCATGATGGAAAAATGTTAACCCACATCCAGAGAAAAAACATGGAGTGATTGCAGATCGAAGCATACTATTTTCTCTTTTTGGTTTTTCTTTCTCACGGTCTTTTCCCCAGGTTCTGATTCTTCTTTCACAACATGACTAATGTTGAAATACTAATATAATTAATACATGTGTATTACATATAATATGTTAATATGATCATACATGTATAGCCTATATCAGATTGCATGCTCTCTTGGGAAGGGGGAAGGGCAGGGAAGGGGAAAATTTAGAACTCAAAATCTCATAAAAGTGAATGTTGAAAACTAAAAAAAAAGAAAAAGACAGAAAAAAAAAAAGACAGAAAGCACCTAGGATGCTAACCATAGATAGGGAGTTGCAGCCATCCTTGTGGTCTTGTCCCAGGAAGGAAATGGACGGCTGCTGCCAGGATGGCACTAGAGCAGAGTGGACCCAGGAAGGAAATGGACAACTGCTGCCAGGACAGAACATGGGCAAGCCAGGGAATGCTTAGGTTGTGGAGGCCAGCAGATGGGCAGACCTCTAAGAGAAAGGGACTCAGGGGAAGAGGTGGCTGGTCAAGGGGATGTCATTCATCAGATAGAGAGGTGATTCTCTTGCACATCTTGACTATAAAGATAGACAATTGCTCATCATGTTAATGCTGCCAAGGGGAAAAATTTCTCACCTCCCTGGTGTGCCAACCCCCAGGGACTGCACTCCCCTTTCTTTCTGTTGGAAATAGCTACACAGGGGCCCCAGAGCACCAGCCCCCACTTGTGCCCATCAATCCATAGTGATGATAGTACACTCTTCCATGGGGCTTTGACATCTGCAAAGCACTCTACGCAAGTCACCTCATTTGAGCCTCTCATCCACCCTGAGCAGTAGGTCCTATGAGGGTAAGCTCCATTTTAAAGCTGAAGATACTGGGTCTTAGAGAAACTAAGTGACTTACCCAAGGTCACACAGGCAGTAAAGTGGGAGAGCTGGGCTTTGGAGCCTGTCTTCCTCTGCCTTGGGGAAGCCATCCCTGCCACCTTCTCTACCACACTGAGACTCCCTCTGGCCAAACAGCTCAGGCTGTCAGAGGACCCCTCCTCCTTGGTCACCCTGTTTTCAGAAATCTACATGAAAGAGTCAAGAAATTGCACTCACATAAAGACAGGCAAAGCAAGAAGTCTGAATCATGGCTGTCCTTTTTATTGAAGAAAAAACATCCTTCTAGGCTGGAGAAAGGTTCTCTGCCACACTCTGTACCAAGTGAATATGCCAGGAATACTGAATCCCTGATGGGGAAAAGGCACAGCACATAACTATCTCACACCCTAGATCCTACCACTCTCCTGATTCATCTCAACCAGCAGCTTCTTTAGCTCCTCAGTGGTGGGATCTGTGGGGCACAGCTGGTACTTAGTACTCTTTGCCCCCTGCTGAGGTGGGTACCGATGTTGCCAGAGACTGCAGAGCCCATAGACGCCAGCCATCAGCAGAGCATCCAGGATCAGGTGCCAGCAGAAGAAGGTTGTGAGGAACATGACATCTCCAGGTTTATCTGCCCTCCAAGGATGGCCAGTAATTGGAAGAAAGATTATGCTCCCCAGGTGGACAAACCATGAGCCAGACAGGAGAAGCATCCAGACCTTGAACACCCAAAGCACAGGCTGGTCAGGGAGCCAGAGTTCAATAGTCAGCACTTGAGCAATCAGCATGATGGGCAACACCAGCAGAAAGTGGGCACGGGCCTCCAGGACATTCTTGCCCTCAGTGTGGGAGAGCAGGAGCAGGGCAGTTCCTTGGAAGGCCAAGGCCAGGGCAGCCTGCTCCAGCCTCACCTGCTGCCTGGCCAGCCAGCTCTGACTCACTATGTCCACCAGACCACTGATGAGAAGGAAGCTGTATATGGTCACATGTTGCCAGGTGTTGTGATACAAGAATTTCCTCTCAGGGTCTTCCCAGTCTATAATAGCAAGCCTGTTCGAGCCTAATGGATAGAACAAAGCACCTGCCATGCCAGGGATGCAGACAGCAACCTTGATCAAACCCTCAATGGGGAGCTTCTGCAGCCAACCCCTTGCTCTCTTATCCCGGGGAGGAAGTGGTGAAACCAGGAGCCGCTGCCCCCTCAAGATGGCCAATGATACCAGCATGGCATAGTAGAGTCCAGAGAAAAACAGAAGCAATCCAGGGAACAGATGGCCGGCAAAGTCAGTCATGGAGGCCCCAAAGCCAAGGACAAAGGCGAGGAGAACAAATTCTAAGCGACTGTTCAGAAGGAGAAGCTGGCTGTGTCAGAGGGAGAAAGAGCCTGCCCACTCAGTGCATATACCTCCAAGTGGCCTCCACACCTTCTTGGGCTGCTCCCAAGGGAGGGACTAGAAGAGCTCAGAGGAGGAATCCATCCTCCGAGGCATGTCCCTCACCAGGCATTGACAGGAGCTCCTCCCTCAGTCCTGCCAAGGGCCCTGACTCCTCTCCACCTTCCAAGATGCTGCCAGCTAAGCTGCCTGCTCTAGTCTCTACCATCCTGCGCCTCTAGCCCTGGAGAGAGAGGAAGGAGTTGACCTGGAGTTCCTAAAAGAGTTGGTGCACCTCCACGTACAGCACCGAAAAGAACCGAGACTCTGATAAGATCTGCAATCAGCGGTTACCATCTCACAGCACAAAACTCACCCACCGGGTCTGGCGCCCTTGTCTTCCCTCCTGTCAGCACCTGTCAGACCGAGAGTCGTTGCTTGGCTGTAGTTTCCTTTTGAACCAATCAGTCTTCCTTCTCCCCCCTTTGGAGAGCTCACATGCTCATTGTTCCTCTGATTCCTCTCACATTTTCTTTCTCCAAGCTCCTCTGTTCTCCCTCGTTTCTCCCCCGCATGTGGCACTCGCTGACCAGTGCCCATAGCAGCCTGTGTAGCGTTAGGGCAGCATGCAGTCCTCACAGCACAGCAGACTGTAAGCAAAGTGAATGGAGCGGGGCTTGAAGGCAAGATCAGCAATTTCACTCCTTCTTGGGCTAGCTGCTAACTGGGTGATCTTGGACAAGGTCTTAACCTCAAGCACACAGGATCTCTCTAATCCTGTTTCTTCATCTTTGAAATGAAAATAATAGTGCCTTACAGCCTACCTTGTCATTAAAAGGCTCAAATGACGGAATGTTTAGAAAGGACGTTGCAAACTTTCAAGCCCTACAAATATTCCAGGTATTATTACAATTGTAGCCTTTTGGACTTGGGAGATCCTTATCCCAACTCACATTCACACGGTTGAGTTGGGTTCCCAGAGGGCTCTCTGCCTGCGTCAGCTCTAGGGATGCACCTAAAGAGTTAGGAAGACTTTCTACCACTATCAGATCACAGCCCCCATTCTAGTGGGGTCCATGATGCCAATCGCCCAGTAAATGTCTCCTCAATATCATCAATACCATTGATTGGTACTCCCATATCATGGTACAGATTAACATCAACTAGGTTTTACCAAAGGGATATTGACTAAGAACTGAAGTATAAACATAATCCCCCTGAACCAGGGACACACTCTACCCTAGACCTCCTTGGTCCCTGGGGAGACTGACTCAGACTGAAAACATTTGATGTGCCAAATTCTTTTCCAAAGTTGGCACAGCTGATGGACAGGGTTTCTCCTTTACTTGCAGGAACCAGCCTCTTGTCACTGTTGCTGGGTCGAGTCGAGGAGGCCACTTTATGCCACCTTTCTTATTGGCCCTGGCTGCCCTCAGACTCTGGTATGGACTCCAGTTGACAAACCTCTGGTTCTCTCGTGACCTTTGAAGCTCACACGGTCCCAGACTGGTCCATTCCGTTTCTAACACTTAGGACAGGAAAGATGGGGACAGAAGCAAGAGCAGAGCCATGTGCTCATGGATTTCTGTCAACCTGGGGGAAGGGAAGGGGAGAGCAGGACACAGATGCTCTGCCCACCTGGAGGCTTGCAGCAATCTCACTTACAGCTTCTGACTCAAATGCAGCCAGGCAGGAAAGAGGCAGAGTTGCCTCCATGGGAATCTTTTGTATGCACACTCATTTCTGAGTCAGCAGCCAATCAAAAAAGCACCAAGGAAGCAGACCAGAAGCAGCCGTAGAATGCCTACCTGCACACGCTCCAAAGTAGAGAACAAGGCCTTGTGTTGTGTGTTCCAACAAACAGGCTCACCAAACATGCCCATGCTCCCAAGACTGGGCTCTGATCGGTCAATCCCCATTACATTAGCATCAGAAATCCATTGGCTAATTGGCCATAGGGTCCAGGGCCCTTTAACTTTATGATGTGGTCCTGTCTTAGCAGGAGTATGATCATTCCACCTCCTTCTGGAATTGACAGTCCTTCCCCTGTAGCCTTGGGCTCTAACAAGTGAGCGTTTCATCTTTTCTTAGTGAGTGTCAAGCCCTCAGTGCCATTTCACAGCCATCTCCAAGCCTCTACTTGCATCCAGAAGTGAAGGGCCCAGCCCATGGCCCTGGGCTCTGATAGGTGACCATTTCATCTTGTCACACCAAGGAGTCTCAAGCCCTCCATACCACTTCCTTCTCCTTCTTATACTGTGACAGGTAGCAACCACCCTCTGGGCCCACTTTCCAACTCTGGCTCAGAGAACACAATTCAGATCAGGACCACCATTCCTCGTCAGGATATGTCAATCATTCATCTGTCTGAAGCACCCCTTCCTGATGTGTGTCATCTTTCTCTGTTAGAAAGTAAGCTCCCTGAGGGCAAGGACTACCTTGCTTATTTCTATCAGTTTCTTCAGCACTTTAGCATCATTCCTGGAAAATGAAAAGAACATAATAAAAGCCTTTTCATATTTTCCTTCATTCATTTTAACTTTGACATTCATTCAAGTATTTTGACAGGGAAGGTCCTGGAGATGAGATTCACTTTCTTCTACTTGGACCCATAGGGTAGAACTTAGTGCAAGGAGGGACAGTTACAAAGAGAAAAAGTTGAATCTGCAGCTGTGGAGACCAGCCCATACTCCAAGAGAATCCTTGCTGTAACAGACCCAACAAATGGTCACCAAGCCTCTGCCTTCTTTAGGAGCAAAGGAACCTTGGCTCTTGTACAACAGCTTCCGGTGGTTCTGGGTGAAAGACCCCCTCCTGGATCGCTGTCTTATTGTGGCAGAGGGGCTTGTGTGGCACAGTGAAAGCAGGAGGCATGCCATGCAGGGTCACCCAAGACAAGTCTTGGTGCAGAGTTCTGACAAAACTGGAAAAGGAAACGGAAACCCCACCAGTATCTTTGCTAAGAAAATCTATAGACAGTACAAAAATGATCAGAGATAACATTGGAAGACGAACCCCTCAGCTTGGAACGTATGCAGTAGGCTACTAAGGAAATGGACAGCTGCTACCAGGATAGCCCTAGAGCAGAGTGGAGTCTGCCTAGCACCTAGCACAGTTCCTGAACCACAGCAGTTGCTTCTTCATTCAGAGAAAGGAAGTTACTGGCCCAGCATCACAAAGCCGCTATCCAAACTGACTCCATCTGATTCCAAATGCATGGCTACAGTCCCCCATAAAATACAGTAAGGCCCTCTCCCCAAAGCACCCGCCTGGCAGCCTCCTGGCTGCCACCCACTCTAGGCTTGACTCCACCCTTCTGTGTCTGGGATCCCAGGCATCCAGACCTTGAACACCCAAATCACAGGCTGGTCAGGGAACCAGAGTTCAAGGTCAGTACCAGAGCAATCAGCATGATGGGCAACACCAGCAGAAGGTGGGCACGGGCTTCCAGGACATCCTTGCCCTCAGTGTGGGAGAGCAGGAGCAGGGCAGTTCCTTGGAAGGCCAAGGCCAGGGCAGCCTGCTCCAGCTTCACTTGCTGCCTGGCCAGCCAGCTCAGACTCACTATGTCCCCCAGACCACCGATGATGCAGTTATACATGGTCACTTGTTGCCAGGTATTGTGATACAAGAACTGCCACCTAGGGTCTTTCCAGGCCGTGATCGCCAATCTATTTATTACTGGTAAGTAATCTGTGGTGGCAGCTGTGCAGATAGTAACCTTCACCAGACCTTCACTGAAGAATTGCTACCAGCAGCCCTGTGGTCTCTTGTCCCCGGACAACCGAGAGCCATTGCCAAGCATTCCAGCATCTCACAGAGTCCAAAAAGGAAAGAAAACAGAACCAGGGACCAGAGGTCCCATGAATGTGGTCATAGAAAGTCAGTGCCAAGAACAGAGTGAGAAGCACAAAGTGAGCAGGACTGCTCCCTAGGAGACAGAGCCTCTGAGCTATGGAGACCAGCCACTACTTGGGCCTCGCCCATCCTGCCCACTTGGAGGATTTGCAGTGCCTCTGGCTGACCCTATCACAGCTATGGGTCCAGGATGAGCTGCCTCATCTGCTCCAAAGGGTTGGACTGCCACAGCTTCAGGAGGGACTCCATCCTCCGAGCCATCCTGTCATCAAAGCATTGACATGTGCTCTCTCCTCAGTTCTGCCACTGTCCCTTCTATTTTGCTGCTTCCCAGATCCTACCAGCTGAGCTGCCTGCTCTAGCCCACACCCTCCTGATACTTTAGCCCTGGAAAGGCTGAGAGGTATAGGCTATACGATGCCCAAGCTATTACCAAACTGCCGCTCATGCCATATTCCGTAATTGAATTTCAATTCCAAAATTGAACCGCTTCCATTTGAATTGTCTTAGGAAGATTCTGCAGATGACTTGGCAAGATAAGGTACCAGGCACTGAGGTCCTTTCTTGACCTGAACTTCCCAGCATTCAAATTACTTCAGAAGGCGCAATTCCAATGGGCTGGCCATGTTGTCCAGATGCCAAACGTTTACCTGAAAGATTATTTTACAGAGAACCCACACAAGGCAAATACTTACATGGCGGTCAGAAGAAGTGGTACAAGGACACTTTCAAGGTGTCTCTGAAGAACTTTGGGAGTGGTTGTGGGATATGGGAGACACTGGCACAGGGCCACCCAGCATGGCACGCCCACAGCAAAGAAGGCGCTGTGCATCATGAGCAAATCAGAGTCACAGCAGCTCCAAAGAAACATGGGATGCACAAATCTAGAGACATCTCCATCCTAAACGTTCCAACAGACTGTTTTGTGGCTGACCTCCGGTATAGCCTCCTGAGCTGGTCATCAGCCCCAGGTGGACACACTGTACTTTGACCCCCAACATAGTGACATCATTTCGGCCCTCTTCAAGTACAAAGGACAAATGACAACAGTAACTAAACTG